GAGCGTGTCATTGCATTTCAGGCATTTCAAGCCCCCCCACCCTCCGCCATTTCTGCTTCAAAGAAAGCTCCGAGAAAATCCGCAGTTTCCCCACCTCAAACCCTGAGATTTCTGCACCCACAGCCAGCCGGCCACTGTTCTTGGTTGATGGGGGCGCTCGGGCTCTGACATTTTCTGATCCCCATTTTCTCTCCCCCCGGCGGAAGATCCGGTTTTCTTTCCCCACCCGGAGCCGAGCCGCAGTTTTCTCCGCGCCCGCTGATCCGGAATCCCACCACCCACCCAGAAATCCCGGGGTTTTCCGGTCAGCCCCATCCCCATGCCTCGCCGCGCCCGCTGATCCCAGCCGCGACGCACGGTTGGTTTCCCCGTCGTCGATCCGACTGCTCGGGGGCGCGGCACATGCATCTCTCCCTGTGGAAGCCGCTCTCCCACTGCGCCGCCATCCTCCTCTCCAAGAACCACCGGCGGCGTGGCGGAGGAGGAGGAGGCGGCGGCGGCCATGGCGGCGGCAACGGCCGGCGCGACGACACGGCGTCGTTCCTCCGGCAGCTGCGCGACGCGCTGGACGCCGCGTCGGAGGAGGGCGCCCTCTGCCCGCCGCCGGACGCCGCCGGCGCGGACGAGGATGCCGCCGTCACGCGCTCCCGCTCCCTGGCGCGCCTGCGGGCGCAGCGCGACTTCCTCCGCGCCACCGCGCTCGCCGCCGCCGCCGGCCCGTTCCGCTCCATCTCCGACCTGCCGCTCCTCGCCCACGCCATAGCCACCTTCCTCTCCATGTACCCGGACTACGCCTCCACCTCCGACGTCGACCGCCTCCGCCTCGACCACTACTCCCACCTCGACGCCCCCGGCGCCGGCAGGGTCTGCCTCGACTACTGCGGCTTCGGCCTCTTCGACTCCAGCTGGGACTCCTCCTCCTCCTCCTTCACATTGTCCGAGCTCAATGCCAATCTGAGCAACCACGCGCTCTACGGCGGCGCTGAGCCCGGCACGGCCGAGAATGACATCAAGGAGCGGATCCTGGAGTACTTGAATGTGCCGGCCAGCGAGTACGCCCTGGTGTTCACTGTCAGCCGGGGGTCAGCGTTCAAGCTGCTCGCTGAGTGCTACCCGTTCGAGAACAACCGAAGGCTGCTCACCATGTTTGACCATGAGAGCCAGTCGGTGAACTGGATGGCGCAGAGTGCGCGGGCAAAGGGTGCCAAGACGCGCACCGCATGGTTCCGCTGGCCCACTCTCAAGCTCTGCTCGACGGAGCTGCGCAAGGAGATTGTGGGCAAGAGGAAGGCCAGGCGACGGGATGCTGCAGTCGGATTGTTCGTGTTCCCTGCACAGTCTCGGGTGACCGGCGCCAAGTACTCCTACCAGTGGATGGCGCTGGCACAGCAGAATGGCTGGCATGTCATGCTTGATGCTGGTGCACTTGGTCCCAAGGACATGGACTCGCTGGGGCTCTCGCTGTTCCGGCCGGACTTCATTATAACCTCATTCTACAGGGTGTTTGGTTCTGACCCAACTGGATTTGGTTGCCTTCTGATCAAGAAGTCGGTTATTGGAAGCTTGCAGGGGAGGAATGGCTGCAATGCCTCTGGGATGGTCAGGATTGTTCCGGTCTTTCCACAGTACCTGAGTGACTCCATCGATGAATTTGATGCAGTGGAAACAGAGGGACTTGAAGATGACCCTTGCACTCCGAAAGATGAAAATCCAGTGCCTGATGTTCGAAACGGCTCACAGCTGCCAGCATTTTCGGGTGTGTACACTTCTGCTCAGGTCAGAGAGACATTTGAGAGTGACCCGGGTCGTGACAGCAGCTCGGATAGGGATGGGGCGAGCACCATTTTTGAAGAAACTGAGAGCATATCTGTCGGTGAGGTGATGAGGAGCCCGGCATTCAGCGAGGACTGTTCATCAGAGAACTCTTTCTGGGTTGATGTTGGCCAGAGCCCGTTGGGGTCAGAGAAGTCTGGTCAGTTCAAGAAAGGGAAACTGGGATCACCATTACCATCATCTTGGTTCACTGGCAGAAAGGGTAACAAGAGGATGTCACCTAACCTAGCATCGAGGATATCTAGAAGCCCACTTTATGATGGTAATGTGATTTCTTTTGATGCTGCTGTACTGTCAGTTTCACAAGATGTAGACTGCCTCAGGGAAGACCCTGAAGAAGAAATCTATGAGAATGGCCGGGGAAATCATTTTAGGCAAGTTAGTGAAATCCAAGAGGAGCCAGAGGTTGAAGAGGTTGCATGCCAACATGCCATGAACGGTGATTTGGACCACAAGGAAAGTGCGATAAGAAGGGAGACTGAAGGGGAATTTCGGCTGCTTGGACGGAGGGATGGAAACAGCAGGTTTGCTGGGGGTCGTCTCTTCGGTGTTGAAGAGATTGACGGAGCTATAAGCATGGGGCGCAGAGTTTCATTCAACACTGAGGCGAATATGATTGCTGACAGACTACATCGGGCCTCAGATGCTGCTGAAGCGTCTGGATATCCATTTCGTGATGATGATGTAAGTGATGGGTATGATGATGCTCAAGACTGGAGCAGGAGGGAACCAGAGATAATTTGCAGGCACATTGACCATGTCGATATGATGGGGCTCAACAGAACAACACTTAGGTTAAGGTACCTTATCAATTGGCTAGTAACTTCGCTGTTGCAGCTGAAGCTGCCAGGCTTGAAAGACAGTGATGGAGTTCCTCTTGTCCACATTTATGGTCCAAAGATTAAGTATGAAAGGGGAGCGGCCGTTGCTTTCAATCTGAAGCAAAGTGGTGGTGCTTTCATTAATGCTGAATTTGTCCAGAAGATAGCTGAGAAAAATGGCATATCTCTTGGCATCGGTTTTCTTAGTCATATAAAGATAGACCCAAACCAGAAACAGTCAAATGGAGCACTAGATATACCCGAGGCTTCCTTTTATAAGAATGGTCGCAAAGACAGTAAAAAGGTGACTGTAAGAGTTGAAGTTGTGACTGCTTCGCTTGGCTTCCTCACTAACTTTGAAGATGTGTACAAGATGTGGGCATTTGTTGCCAAGTTCTTAGATCCTTCATTCCTGGAAAGTGAGCGTATTGCCATAGCTACTGACCAAATGGAGGCCATAGCTGCTGAGCACATGGAAGGGCAAATTTGAGCTTGATGTATGATATATTGATCAATGAAGGAGTGGAAGGTGATCTTTCTCCTTTTGTCGAGCCATAATTTGTGTTTCGAGGGGTAATTGGTAGTGGATTTAGCAGATTTTTTTATTCTTTGCCTAGTTCCTCGACATGTGACTTATTTTTGTGTCATGTAGAGTTTGCTCAAATATGTACCAGCGGCTCATCAGTAGAGCTCCTTTCAACTGAACAATGTTTGTAAAGCAGCTCACTGGAAATGAAATAGTTTTGAGTGCTTTGTACTTGGAATGTGTTCATGATGCAGTTTTCACATCCTGTCTTAAAATCGTCTTTTGATGTATTTTTGTTCGTGGTTGTTGCTTAAAGTTGTAACTTTTTTCGCCGACCTTTTATAATCAATCAATGTTGCTGGTTGACTCTCCTTTTTGTTCATGGAATCTCACAACTGAGAATAGTGTGGGCCACTGCTATGTTCCACTTCCATTTTGATTTTATTCCAGTCAATCTGTTCAACATGTTTTTGTCTTGTTGAAATAGAACCATTCAGTTGGATTCGAAATGTCTGTAAGTACTATCACTTTCCTTCTTGGGTGAACTTCAATCATGAATTGTCTCAGTGTGGTATTATCCAATTTCAACCCCCTTTTTGTGCATGTTACGTTTTTTGGCAGGATTACTAATAATCTGACACTTGAGTGCCTTGGATAACCTGATCTGAAGAAGCATTAGGAATCAGTCACACTGATTGTTCGATGTACTCCTGGAGTTTTTGCATGTCCTAGCATTGAAACATAACATTATCATGATTGTTGTCTCAGTGGGCTCACATGAATAAGACCCTGTATAACCATTAATGTTATTCTTCCTTTATTACTAGTAAATCAAAATTACGAACATCCACTACCGATCTATTTGGTATTTTGGTGCATGTCTTCCCCCAGCCCAGGTAAGAAGGTAGCTCCAATTTTGACGGTGCAATTTTCTTTGTGTATGACTTTTGGATGCTCCCTATTTATCAGTAATTATAATCAGGGAGTCCCATCATAGATCCGCTCTGCATTACCATGAAATATCTTTTATGGACCTTCAGTTGTGCTGGTAAACTAAATTGGGAACTCCCTACAAGTCAGAAGCTTATCTTGTGTTATGTGTTGTCAATGTTCAGTTTCTGTATTGGTTTCTACAGTAATTAGTCATGTTAACTCAGGTGCATTGTCAAGTGTTACGCTTAATATGATGATTTCATTAATTTTCCCTTTCAAATTGCTAAAATGTGCTATTTTTTTTTATCCTTGAAATGTAGAAGATAGCAGAATTGTGATAAACCTCTTACTAGGCTCTATTAGGATGCAGCAACTGTACATCAGTTTGTATTTAATACACAAACATCAGTTTTGAGCTTTTGCCCCTACTGTGGCTTGCCCTTTCCTTCTTGTACTGCCATGTAGCAGCAACATCTCATTTTATGCCAAGCAACTTACAAAATGATTCCACCATTGGGCTATAAAATGAAGTAACTGTAAATGCATTTTTAAAGTACAGCCAAAAGAAAAACGATCCAGCATCAAATGCATTTCTTTTTCCCAGAATAAATGCCTGAAACATTGTTTCCTGCCTAGGCCTGGCTAGCTCTGACCTGATCAGTGGCTGGCCATACCCTATTCTGTTCACTCAGTTTGACAGCCATAGTCAAGAAGACCTTCCCAAGTATGTCGAAGCAGAGCAGTGGCAGTGTGCTCAGTGCTCATGCTCAGAAGAAAACGATTCATTGCAAAAATTAAAGAGGATGGTTTTCAGTTCCCAGTCTATTCCTCTCCCTAATTAATCAGTTTTACTTCTCTGTCCACAGTGGGTTTTAATTCACATAAATATGTGTCTTGAAGTGTTGAATGGGGCTTGTGACTTTTGGGTTCTCCGTACAGCCATACTATTTATCTGTGACCTTTGCGCTAGCACTGCTCAGAACATCCCTCTGGATCCGTGGCAACCAGCATCCTTGCAGAAGTCCTGGTAATCTCCTGCTTTAATCTCTGCTGTTGTTTTGGCTATTGGTACTGACACAATCTGCTACTACACTCTCTAGATATTGCTGCCCTTCCTTATCTTCTTAGACTATATGGAAGAAATGAAACTGGAATATGTCAGTAGATTCTGCAGCTTTTAGTGCTCAAAAGTCAAATCTATCAAATAGCAACTTTTGTCATGCTTTCATCTGCATCAGCCTGAATAAACTTTTCTAGTGATGTTCTTTTTCAACAGTAGGGCACAATGCCAGTACAGTCGGTTCATGTCAGTTAGCCTGAATACTGGAAGTTTTTAGGTTACTTCCCAGTTCCCACCTGTTTACGTGCCTACTGTAAATTGATTTTGTCCTCCCTTCCTAATAACTTCCATCTTTATTAACATTGTAGGAGTGATCAGAGGATGGACAAGTCTTGCACACGATGCAGGGATTACGTCGCACATCAATATTGGGACCACATGGATAATCGGAAAAAGCGTTTCTTTAAGCTTATGCTTGGCAATTTCAGGAATGGAGTGGTACGATCTTTTCGACTGTGCTGTTCCTGTGGACAAATATACATGTTCTATAGTTTTGTTAGTTTGTTGTTTTGGTAAGTGGACAACTTAGGTCCTGGGATAACAGTTTCATGGTTTACTCATCTTAGTACTTGATTTGGAGGTTCAAACCAGTTTTGTTTTTCTGTATGAGTAGTTGTTCGAGAATCAATTTCAGGCAAAAATGTTGAACGTGAGAAGGTTATCGGAAATTATCAGGACATTCACCTCAATATTCTGTTCATGCATGGAGTTAGGATCCACATGTCTGTGGTTCTGTGAGACATGGATAATTTGTAAAGCATGCCCTGAAAAACTGACTTGTTGGTGGGGGTGGCATATCCTGAAAACCCTCCTTAAAACTATGCATAAGGCATATTCAAATAAAGAAATTTATATCTGCATTGAGAAGAAAACATGTTTGCTCTTGGTTTTCAGTAAAATTAGCAGCAACGACCTTGTTATTTATATGGATCAATATAACTAGTTATTACTCTTAAAATGGTAATGGTGTAATGCTTTCAATTTTATGACATACTCCATGTTAGTGTAAATTACCTCGGTTTTATCCTACCATGTACATGACTACGGCGTTCGTATGTCAAATTTATTTTTTAATCCCTGCAGACCATACCAGAGAAGTTTGTGCGCAGTGTCGGGGGAAAGATCTCTGAACTAGTCAAACTAGAAACTCCAGATGGTAATACATATAATGTTCATATTGCCAAGGAACTGAATAATCTAGTCCTTCGATCTGGATGGTCAAAATTTGCCAGAGTTTATGAGCTTCAAGAGGGTGACCTTTTGAGGTTCAAATACAATGGGGACTCCCACTTCAAAGTTGAGATCTATGATCCAAGTGCTTGCGAGAAAGAGACATCCTGCGTTGTAATGAACCACAATCCAGGTCTCCAAAAACGGAGCGTTCCTCGTGATAATCCAATGTTATCACCGGAGGGTGAAAGGTTAGCAAAGCGTCACAATGGTTGCTGCAGCGACAGTTGCAAAACTTCAAAGATGAATCCAGCAGGCACCCCACACAAACCAAGTAAAAATACATGTTTCTCCTAGTTCCAGCACAGTGCGATCAAGTTTCATTATTAACAGCATTAATGGTTGATATTGCACAGCTAAAAGGGAAGCCCCATCTTCTGAAGATGCCAGGAGTTCGGGTGAACTTCAGACTTCCACCAGGTCTCGCTATTTCTTAGCAACAGGGTGCAACCTGACTGATGCACATAAGGTGGAAGTCAACAAAATTGAGCAAAACATCAGGCCTGAGATTCCATTATATGTCAAAACCATGTCCAGTGCCAGTCTGGTTGATGGATTTCTGGTATGTTGCATTACTTGCATTGCATACTTAATGACTACTTGAGCTGTTTGAGTCTACATAACCTGTTCTTGCGATGATGAGAACTTCAGATTCACCTGTTAAATCTTGTTGAAACTTTGCTGAACTCATCGAAACTAACTGCTAGATCATTTGTAATAGGTCATATGCAAAGATTACGCTATCAAACACCTTCCACGCAAAGACGAATTCATCACACTTTGCCATGCCAGTCATAGCAAGACATGGGGTGCTCATTACAGGATCAACGCTGATGATACATATCATCTTTCTACCGGCTGGTTGGGATTTGTCGATGACAACCAGTTGCAAAAAGGCGATACTTGCGTGTTTGAAGTATTAAAGAGGCAGAGAAGTTTCACAATGGCAGTTCATCTGCTTAAAGCAAGCTATCATCATCCACCAGGTAATTCCCTGCGTATATGCATGCAGTCTGAGGGATCATCCTTTAGATGTAGCTCTACTCACAGTAGGGAAATACTTGAAAATGAATCCAGCAGATTCTGTAAGAGATTATGTACATTATATTGGTTTCGTGTCCCATGTTTAGTAATTTGTGACTGGGTCTTTTATGTAGGATTTCCCGCTTCTTCCAAGAGTCTTAGGCCTGAAGCCAAGAGTTTTAGGCCTGCAGATAAAGTGAGGTTGTCACGATTCACCACTCTGGAGGGTCTGCTGAAGACTAAAGTATATGAGAAAGTAGAAGCTATTAAGCCTGAAATCCCTGTTTTTGTGTCTATCATGATGAAAACCAATGTTAGCAGCAGAAGCCCCAGTTTGGTGAGCCACCATCACTTTGTTCATATTCAAAAGAAAAGGAAAAATACAATTCATCAGCAGAAGTTTATTCCCTATTATAGTGAGAAAACAGAAAATTAGAGCAGTGAAGTTTTCACTAAATCTTACTTCTATTTTTTCCGTGCAATCAGGCCTTCAGTCTGGATTATGCCAAAGATTTTCTCCCTGGTGAGAACCAAATTTTCAGGCTTCACCGGCCCGGGGAAAGCGCTCCATGGAAAACTGAATTCAAGAGCTTTGCTTCAAGGCGTTGGCTTGTTAGAGGCTGGGAGCAGTTTGTCATTGACAACGAACTGGAACTAGACGATGTCTGCCTCTTCGAGCGGATTGAAAACAAGAAGAAGCTCAGGATGATGGTCCACATCATCCGAAAAGAAGAGTACTGTTGATTTGCTCCTTTTTTTGCCTATGCTTTTGTAGTCGGGAAGTTTAGTATCGTCAGTGGGTTTTGTGTTAGAATTTCCCTGACTCATCCGACAAAATCTCAGAAAAGTGCTAGAATAAACTATATTACCTGGATATGATGATACTTCCTGGTTAGTTTGTGTTACAGAATCATGATCATACTGTGGCTTCTAAATATCAGTATAAGTTGTTTCGGATATATCCTTTGAAAATGCGCAAAAATTCTTGTAATCCCATGAAATTGATGTGTACAAATTTGAGAAGCTTATGTATTGTTCTACATTCTTGCAAAGTTTAACCTCAAATTAAGTATTGTCAATGGATTGCTTCTGATAACTGTATGCTGCAACCAGGAGGCAATGAGCTGCAACTAGATAAGATCACAGATAATTTGATTACAGTTAGTTTCTGACAACTTTACTTGATTGAAATGACTGCGCACTGTCCACTCCACTTACTGCCAATTTCACCTCCCCCAAAGATGAAGTAAACATAGTAGCACGCATCTGCCATGGTGGCCCCACCTTTCAGTGGGTAAGGTCCATCAACACCCAGAGTCCACTAGTCTCCCCCTGAGCTGTAACTTGTAGGTGAAATCTATGTATGTATGTAGTTACTCCACTAGTCTCGTCAGCCAGCACCAGCACAACTCCTTTCTCTCTCTTCTCACCAGGAAGAATAAAGGGAATGCATCAAGAGCAAGGCAATCACAGCTCTCTCTCTCTCTCTCTCTCTCTGTGTGTGTGTGTGTGTGTGCTGTGGCTGAGGATGTTGCTTGTGTGATTGCTGAATGGCAGATGAGATGATGGGTGAGAAAGGGTGCGAGAGCTGCAAGAAGTGGCAGGAGCACTACTACTGGGAGCACATGGATGTGAGCAAGACCAGGTTCTTCAAGCTCATGACACAAGATTCCCAGCAGCGCATTGTAAGTATCCAATACCCTCACAAGGATTGAACTCTGTAACAATAGTTGACCGCTTGTACTAGTTCCAAATAGTTGATTTCCCCCCTAAAAAAGTTGATTTAAAAACAACAACTAGGATTAACCCTGATTTTCTAGAAAGCATAAAGAAGTTCTTACAAGGCTCATCCGTCACTATTGGTGTCTTCTCCAAAAAAGGAAATGTCTTGGAAGATGGAACTTACCTCCCAATAATGGGCTGTACAGACTTAAAATGCATTAGGTCCTCTGAACCTAACCATGTGACTAATCGCCTGCCAATTTTGTCTCCTCCATCTTAGCGCATACCAGACAAGTTCGCGAGCAATTTCATCAGGCAGATGCAGAGCCCACAGGGTTTTGACCTGAAAGCACCAAGCGGCGAAACGTGGCATGTGGGTGTTAGCAAGGTTGGCAATGACCTGTTCTTCAGCTCAGGATGGGTAGATTTTGCCAAGGCTCATGAACTGCAGGAGAATGACCTCCTGGTCTTCACATTCAGTGGCAACTCTTTTGAGGTTCTGATCTTCGACGCGAGCGGTTGCGAGAAACTGTCTTCTCTCTTCGCTGGCGCTGGTATGCACAAACATTTTGATGGTATGGTGGGTCAACAGGTTGAGCAATACTCTCTTAGTGATGATTCTGATTCTGATGATGATGATGACGACGACGATGGTACAAGTGTGCCGTCTCAGTTGATTGAGTCCCGTCAGAATGTCTCCACTTTAAGGAAATTCAGTAGCCGGAACAAACCAAGTAAGGCATTATGATTTTGTGGTTCGACTAATGCATGAGATGTATCTCTGAATATATCCTTTTCTTGAGATCTCGGTGTAGTCAGCTAACACAGACCCATGTAGTTAACTATGCATGATCAATAATTATCTTTTGCTGGTAATTTCAAATGGTAAATTTAAGCTCATGTACACACTGTTTCAGGGAAAGATCTTCTTCCTGGATCACCAAACTGTAGCAGCTCATGTGATGTTAAGCATGAGGAAACTGAGGAAGAGGAGAGTGATGATGACACATATGCTGACTTCGACTACTGCTACTCGAGGGTTGTGAAGCAACTACCCGACGATGAAAAACATGAAATAATCGGGCTGACTTCGCTGCAACGGGGCAATCCAGCGTTCATGACAGTTCTTCTGAGGGCCCACCTGCAACGCAAGGACAACTTTCTGGTCAGTTTGGATTGATCAAAACGATTACAGCAAGCTTGTGTAATTCTTTGTCAACTCTGGCATGCACAAGGTTCCCATATGTTTAGACATTAATTTCTCCTTGTGGCTTGTGTAGGTCATCCCCAGTGAATTTGTACACGAACATCTTCACATGAGATCACATGAAGTGCTGCTGCTCAGGCCAAACAGAGAAGAGAGGTGGCATGTCAGCTACTACCAGGGGAGCTCCAGCAAAGGCTTCAGGGGCCAACCCTGGGTCAAGTTCATCCGCGACAACAAACTGCACAAGGGGGATATCTGCGTCTTCGAGCTGATCAAAGGCGCGAGGAATGAGAACAAGAAGGCCGGGACGACGATGACCGTCCATGTTGTCAGGAGGAAGAAGTCCGACGGTCGGTTTGCCTTAGTGGGCTAAGTTCCTGCAGCGTGTGCGACGTGTGCTGAATGTTTTGGCGTGTAATATGCAGTGTAGATATGTGCAAGTGCCTAGTGCTGAAACCTGAACTGGGAGTACTTAGCTGGTGTTAGCAGTGTGCTGAATGTTTCTGAACCGGAGAGGAAATCACCACTGATCTTCATCAACAATGTCTATCCGCTGACCCCCATGAGATGTGAGTAGTCCACCTCCAAGACTAAGGGTTCATAGTAGATCTTTCTTTTGTGTTTCTAATGTTTGCATAACTCCTTGACAGAGGTTAGGTCTTCAACTCTATGTCATCATGCTTTATTGAAAAAGGCTTTCGCCCCGCTTTATAAATAAAGCAACCACCAGGCAAAAAGTATCAAGGTAACAACGAACAATCCACACACAAACACAACGCCACCGCAGACAAGGTCCAACACCCACACACAAACACATAGACCCAAGTTCAGCTGTGGGCACAGCACAACAAGCCCAACAAGGCTCACGACAAGACAACACATAAACGAAGGTGGCGGTGTCATCATGCTTTGTGCAATGCTCTATTTTATTATTTAAACTCAGGCGTATATGAGGGTTTCAATCACTATGAGTGAAGTATTAGCCATTAGGTTTGGCGTGTGTCGATATAATGGATTTATAGACGTACTGCTTATATAACATGATCCCAACCTATGTCATAATTTGGCATGATTGTTTGGTTGATCAAACTCACATGCCTAGGCTTATATTCATGTGTTTGCACCAGAACCAACTTGTAGTTGGATGATGTGAGTTTCAGGGCCATCCATGTGAGAAAAAATGTTTCCATGCTTTTGTGAG